GCCATAATCCTCATGGTATCATATAAAATAACATAAATGGGTTAATTTAAGATGTAAGAGTTAGTTAATAAGAAGGCTGAGCTAATTGGCCAAGCGGTATTGTAATTAATAGTTTCTATGTGATTATTTCGGGTCTGGGAGGCTAGGAACAAAGGAGCAGCCTCCATATACATATTTCTAGACTCAACTTTACTCCCAGTAATTCAATTCTCCCTCTAAAAAGTGAAAGCCTGGCGACCAGAGCTCAGTCCTGGAGTCCACACAGGAAAGAAACTGACTCATGAGAGTTGGCCTCTGACCTTCAATGCCTAAAGGCCTGGCATGCATGCCCCCACAGTAATAAATAAGAATTTTTTAAAAATAGAAGATGATCCTCAGCTTTGTTCCAGGCTCTTCCTGTTACAGAAAGTCCTTTTTTTGTACTGTCAGACAAGCAGAATTCCAGTTAAAGGAAGAGAAGGAGAAAAATAAGCAATCAAACATATAAAAAAGAATAATGACCAGAGAAAAATATTCAATAATATGTTAAAGTGAAGTTTCTACATGTCAGTAGTCACCTGTAAGTGGAGACTGCTTGTTCGTTTCCCAGCTGCCCAGACCCAAATAATAGCACAGAAACTATATTAATTAAAACACTCTTAGATGCTACAGAGACTTCAGAACACTCAGCTTCTTCTGAGCAGGTGCTCTGGAACTTTGAAAGATCTGAACTGAGAGAATTTGGAGGTCTGATATAGTACTCCCATTATTGTTGAGGAAACACATCTAGAAAGGCAAAGTCATTCATTCTACGGTGTATGTTAAATAAAAGCCAAGGGCCAAAAATACAGATCAGTGTTAGAGTATTTGCCTCAAACATACAAGGCTCTATAGGTTAAATTACCAATACTGCTAAATACAATCAACCAACTGATCAATCAATTCTCCAATTACTAGGAAACCCAAAGTTAAACCTCTTCCAATACCTATGATACCTCTTTTTTTTTTTCAATAGAACAACATTAAGATTAGTCTCAGGATTTGGGTGTACTGACAGATGCCTTTAATCCCAGTACTTTGAAGGCAGAGGTAGGCGGATCTTTGAGTTCAAGGCCAGTCAGTTATACAGTGAGAGCCTATTTGGAGAAAAATTAATTAATCAACCAGTCAACCATTCTATGGAGTAAATACTAAAAGTTTCAATCAAACATGTGGATCTCATGGAAGCAGAGAGAAGAGTGGTCACTAGAGGTGAGGAAAAACAGGGAGAGAAGTATTAGGAGGTTTGAAAATAGACAGGAACAACGTGTTCCAGTGTTTTATAGTACAATAGGGTGACTGTGGCTTGTTACAATTTATTGCATTTTTTTAAATGAATGTTTAAGTGGTGTAGAGGTCCTTCTGTCTATATGTTGCTTGTATTGGTTAATGAATAAAGAAACTGGCTTGGCCTGATAGGGCAGAACTTAGTTAGGCGGGGAAAACTAAACTGAATGCTGGGAGAAAGAAGGCAGAGTCAGGGAGAAGCCATGTAGCCTTGCTAGAGATAGATGCTGGAAGTCTACCTGGTAAGCCACAGCCACATGGCAATACACAAATTAATAGAAATGGATTAAATTAATATGTAAGAGCTAGCTGATAAGAAGTTAGATCTAATAGGCCAAGCAGTGACTTAATTAATAGTTTCTGTGTGGTATTTCAGGAGCCTGGGCAGCTAGGAAACAAATCAGTGGCTTCCTACAACATTTAAGAAAATGGAGATGCCAACTAACTACCCTGACTTTCTGATGAACACTACATAAATATATCAAATTATCACATTGTCCTCCATAAAGATATGTAATTACATGTCAATAAAAATCATGAGGTGATACAAGAGTTCATCAGAATTAAAATCTTGCCTCACCTCAGCAATGAGACCAGCTTTAGGGGCAGCACTGGCCACACTTTGCTGGAGGTGTGGTATTCTATAGGAATAAATGAAATAAACTGCTAATAGCAGTGCCATCACCACAGATTGAGTGTAGAGTGGGGATGTTCAAAGACTACCAGTGCTTTGTCTGCAGTTCATGTATTGATTTTTAAAAAGCATTTCCTAGTCAGATGGCCATATCTTGTGGCCTCCTTGTCCCAGTAAACTAGTAACAGGAAATAAGGCATTTCTCACCCTTAGTCTCTCTATACGCCACCTTTCTGGCTAACCATTACTACTAGTAAGGGTTTACTTACTATCACTCTCCTCTAAGCCACTCTTGAAGTCTCCTGGAAAGGCCCTAGCCTTAAGGGCCCAGGGGAGTCAGCCATAGGACTTTATGGTGTACCTTTCACAGGAAACTTCTTCCTCCTGGTGGCTGGTTTGGTTCCTATCCGCTGCAGTCTGGATTTGGAATGGCCCCCAAAGGCCCCTGTGTTGAAGGCTTGGTCTTCAGCTGATGGCACTATTGGGAGATGGTGAAATCCTGATAAGGTAGGGCCTGCTAGAAAGAAGGGAAACCATTGAGGCATGCTCTTGAAGGGAATACTCGAACTCTGGCCTCCTCTTTCATCACATACTCTTACCATGGTAACAGGTCAAAACAGCAACAGGACAATGGACTACACATTAAAACATCCAAAAAATCAATCTTTTTAAGTTGATCTAAGGTCATAGCAACTGAAAGTATCCAGATGTTCCTTTAACGGGAAGCTTGTTTATGTGGGCAGACACCCTTGTGGCTCTGTACCACAATCAGTTTCTTACCAAGAGAGCCATGATCTAATTAGAAGAGTGAGGTTCAATTGTGGCCCAGAGGAGACAGCACAACAAAGCGCACAAAACAGAAACTTTATTATTCAGAAGTATGAGAGAAGTCAAGACTGATGGGAAGTCCAGAGAGCAGGGTGTTCAGTCAGGGTAGAGAGAACAGGAAGGAACTGAGGAACTAAAGCCCTTACTGGCGTTCAGGTTACCTCAAGGTTTCTGCTAAGTGGATTTCAAGTTCTAAAGGTCACACTCTGAGACTGTGACTGCTGTGAGCACCTACAAGGTACATGCAGGGTATAGGGCCAACTGAGGCCTACCTTGTCATCCCATGTGAAGGGAAGTCACAGAAGGAAGTCATGTAGCACAGACAACTAACTAGATAAACTATACTGAGACACTAGAAGTAGGTAGAAAACAGTAATTGCATCAAGGATGACCAACTACAGTCTGCTTCTGGTATAAGAAATTACAAACTACCTTTAAATGGATGCTAGGACAACATAAGTTAGAACTTACTATAGCAAGGCTTTATCAGTCTAGGTCCCAAGTTCCATTTGGGAAATGGCAAGAAAAGACAAAAGGGAAGAAAGCTGGGCCAAAAAATAGCACCAATGCCTTTGTTTTGCAGAAGTAAAGCAGGCACAGAAAGATGAAACAAGTTGTCCAACCCCCAGTTAAGTGTCTTAACTGGCTTCCAGTGTTATTTAATACATTTCCAGGCTGGGTAACCCACCATCCCAGTCACCTCCCCCACAGTTGTGTCATCTCATTCAGCAGGGCTGAACCAATGCTATAGAACAAGAAAAAAATAGGTTGAAACTCAAGTCTATGTAACCCTGTAACACATAACCCTCCAGTGTCAGTCTCCTAAATGCTAAGATTACAGTAATGAACTATCAGGCACTACAAGAACAAGGTATTTTGTTCAGAGCAAGTGGAGGCTACGCTAGCCTCGCCATGGCTGTTGGGTTACCTAGTCTATATAAGCCAATTTAGTAAGTTCAATAAATCCCCTTTGCCACCCAAATACCATCAGTTCTGTTCTAGAGCACTGTTTCTTGACTTTCCAAATGCTCCAACCCTTTAAATACAGTTCATGTTGTGGTGACCTCCAACCATAAACCTTTTTTTGCTATTTGATAACTGTAACTTTTTGCTACTGTTATGAATTACAATGTAAATGTCTGTTTAGGCAACCCCTTGTGAAGAGTCACAACTCACAGACTGAGAACTATTCTAGAGAACCTGGAATATACCAGACTTTAACTCAGCTGTAACGTGGGACTCTACAGCAGCAAAGATGATGTAAAATTTGTTCAATCCATCTATGCAGGACAGTATGGTAAAGACACTGTGAACCCAGGAACCAGGATGTTGGCTTTGAGTGCTGGAATACTTTCCTTATTTATAAAAAGGTATGTGGTACACTATAATTTTTATAAATCATCAGAAGTCTTAAGCTATATAGGATGCTGCATATACATTTCACCCTGCTGCCTACTGTCCAGGCCTGGGGATTCTGAGGCACCAGCACTAGTTGAATGACCCAACATGCTCAGTTTTGGCACGTTGGCAAGTTTGGCTGCTGTTTACTGGCAGCAGAAGCACTTTCCTCTGAACTACAAGTACAACTTTTATAAGGTATTAGTTCTCCATGCTGTATGACAGGAATTTCCTATCCTGAAGGTGGCATTATTCTGGCGCCACTGAGACAATTGGGAATTCCATTCCAGTTCCTTCAAAGGACAAGAAACAGAAATGCTGTTTTAGCTACTGCCTCTAAAAAGTCAGATAAAAATCTTTCACTGAGTGTCATTTGGCATTGTCAGCTTTCCATATATTCTGTTGGTCATGGGCACATTGTTATCTGAAGCCTGGCACAGAGTCTCAGGAGATTCCAGCTTGTGCCATTTGCTACAAAATGTCTAAAGCAGGCAGGTAGGTCATGGCATCTGCAAGTAGTTTCCAAATCTGATTTTTTTTTCCTTAGTTCTTTGAGACAGGGACTTGAAATGTACCATTGGTTTTCCTGGAACTTGCTATGTAGACCAGGGTAGCTCAAACTCATAAAGATCCGACTGGCTCTGCCTCCTGAGTTTTGGAAATGAAGGCTACCATGTTGGACCCAAACCTGATTCTGTCACTCAGTCTTGCTATACAGACCAGGTTGCCCTTGAATTCAATCCTCCTGCATCAGCCTCCCAGATGGGTTTGTGTGTTATAACACACCTGGCTCACTCATGTTTCATGTAGACAAAAACAAAACAAACAAAAAACCTGACAGAATAACAACTTTATTTATGAAGATGTAGAGGCACTCCAAACCCCAGGGAATTGTTTCCTGTTCATACCTCGAACTTCCACTGTGGAGCAGAAAAGAGTGTCACACTCTTAAACCATGCTGCAAGCTTTTTTTTTCTATGACATCCCATTTACTATCTAGTTTGTCTCTCTTGTGTTGTAACTCAGGAATCTCAAATCTCTCTTTACACACCATTTCTTGGGCTATTTATACCCCACTTCAGTGCTTCTTTGGCGAGAGATACGAACAAGACCCTTCTACTAGAGCCTTGGCAAAGGAAGGCGTTTAGAGAAATTAGGAATCAGCAAATTAAAGCCGCCAACCTAAGGGATTAACTCCATGGTTGAAACAGCAAGCTGAATTTCTTTTATACGTACCATGTATTTTCATGTACAATTTAAAAAAAAAAAACAAAAATCAGCCTGATACATAGCTCTGGTGGGACTGAAACTTTCTATGTAGGACCAAGCTGGCTTTAACTAAGAGATCTACCTACCTTTGATTCCCAAGTGCTGGGATTAGAGGCATATCCCAGAATGCCTGATCTAACAAATTGTAGTGCTTAGGCAAAACCACCAAATCTCAAATGATTGCTAGCCAAACAAAGACAAAGGGCACACATCAATAGTCTGTTTAAAACTGAAAACAACAGGAAGGAATTCCTATGTACTAGATCATGACAGGGATACACCCCAGGATTACAGTTAATTGTCAAGAATGGGGAAAGTGGCTGCTTGTACATGAGAGCTTCTGACACAGCAGCAACTCCATAGTCCCCAGAGTAACATACAGTGGCAACATGGGTCCATGATAGGGTATGTGTGAGAAAGCACAGATTACAAAGCACATACAGAATGCAAATTAGAAATACACCAAATTCCAAGATACACTACATGTAAGACTGTTCCCATACAAAGGGTTCACAAGTGGAACTGTACAATGTTACAATGTGCAGTGTTAAGAGAAACACTGTAAACAAAGCATTCATATGAAAAGATGACATGTAAACATATAATTACTGAGGACTTTTAGGTAAGGTTTTCAGAAAACCCAGGAATAGACTTTATATTACAAAATGGTCCATATCGCCCAAAAATGTCTTTTGATTGAAGAGTAAAATAGTATCTGCTGGAAGCTAAAAACTGAGATACAGTGCAGGCCATCGGGAGCGGTAAAGCTTGAATTTCTGCAATTTTCCTCCAAGTCAAATGATTGGAGTTCTCGTAGCACAGGAAGAGGTGGTAGCTCTCCACAGGAGCGCACTTGGGGTTGACCTTGGAGATGTTCCATGCCAGGGCAATGCCTGGGGGCCTCAACACCCGCTTCACTCTCAGCTCAGGCTTTTGGGGAGGAAGAGTGTCTTGGATTTTGTCTGCCATCTCAGAGAGTGGTGGTGACGGCTCTGGAAGAGGTGGCAGGTGTTCAAATGAATCAAAACCCTACAAATACATTTGCAAGAAAGTTCATGGAGATCATTTGGTGAGTACAGACAAAAGCGGTAAAACTCAGGTGTACAAATCTACTTTCCATTCTTCAATCCTTCATCAAAGCAATGAAAGGTTATATCAAAAAAATGAAGCTGGATTAATGTATTGTGTGTATGTGCTGCTACATCTGTCCATGTATACACACATGTGGGGAGGTCAGAGGACAACCTCCTATGCTATATTTCATTAGGCTAGTCAGTCGGGACAGCAAACTTCAGGAATCCACTTGTTTCTGCCTTCCCAGCTCTGGGATTGATTACACATGCCACCTAGTGTGGCTTATTTAATTTTTCAGCATTGGTTATAGGACCAAACTCAGGTCTTGATGTTTGCAGTGTACTTTAATGACTGAGTCATCTCCTGGCCTCTAGATCCAATCTTTTCAAAACAGAAGGTTCTTTTGGAGCTGAGATTTGTTCTAATGATGCTAGGAACAGGACCCAGCATTTTGCACATACCCGGTAAATGCTTTACCTCTGAGCCACATCCCAAGCTGTCAGTAGAATAATTTCTACACTGTAAAATATTACTAATCCATAACAAAGGAGGTATCAGGCCTTCAGGAGAACAAACCATATAATTTTAACATTGTTTCCAAACACCATAGTAATTTCTCCCAACAACCTCATCAACAATGGTCATTATTCCTAAAATAAATGAAAAACTATGTTATCATTTCAATAGCTTTTGAAAATTGCTAACTGAACTCTTATTATTTTGTAGGGGGTTCAAAAGAGCACTCTATGAGAAGCCATCAAGGTGTTCCTAAGCTGAAATGTGGCTCAGATGCTTCCAGAGTAAAACAGATAAACCCACTCTGCTGGATGAACATCCTTTACACAGCATTTCTGATTAGTACCTCATCTCCATTTTCTGCCACTGGGATTATTTCGTTTGATCTTAAAACAGCTTTCGAAGATGACTTCAGGGTGAATGCTGGGCTTTCTGTGAACAAGACAGTATAATTTAGAGCTGGGAGTGTTTCTCAGTGATAAAGCACTTGCCTACCATAAGTAAGAAGGCCCCACACTACAAGAAAATGAAAGTAAGTAAGTAAGTAAAATTTACCTGGAACAAATTCCATGGTGTTTAAGCAGTTTTACACCTTGGGTATTACAAGTACGATATTCATATAAATATACAGTTGAGAGAATACATAGAATTTTCATTAAGGTGACAAAAATTTCCTCTAAAAGTAAATCCTTTATTATGCACTAGAAATTTGGTATTTACACATGGGAGAGGGATTCAGGAGATAAGAGGTAGACTTTCCTGTTAGATCAGGACATCTAAAAACACCAAGCTACTTATAAACACACATGGATATGTAACATATACAAGCTGAGGAATTTCAACAAAAGTCTCACAAGTACTCTCTCCTGAGGTACATATTCACATGGAGGAAATTAGACAAGATTATGGGAAAGAGAAGAGGAGAGGAAGGAAAGACATGGTAAGAGAAGAAAGAGATGGGGAGGATGGAGAAACTATGGTGGGACGGAGGGAAAGGTGTACAAAGTGACTTGACTAGCATGCATGTCCAAGGGATCAATATCTAGCACTGCAGAAGGATCTGCTTTCTCTAGAAGCTCACATCTACTGGATCAGGCAAACATAGGGTTATTTAGTGTCATACACTGGTTGCATATATAGACATTGTTTCTTGATTGTTATGGTATATAGATAAGTCTTCATGCTTTGGATTCAATTTTGTTTGTTGTGGAGTCTCTTGTATGAGTATCTTGAAGATTGCATTTTATTGCCACAACTAAGTGTTCCTGAAATATTACCATATCCATCCTTACTGTACCACAATCTGGTTAACATTTTCTAATATGGAACCACTTTTCTTTCAGTTGTTATCTAATTTCCTTCAATGAACTTCCTATAGGGCTAGGGAGATGATGCTGTGGCTAGCATGTTTGGATCCATAGCACCTACATGAAAACTGGGCACAAGTACCAGTAATCCGAGCACTGGTGATATGGAGATAGGTGAATTTACAGGGTTTGCTGGACAGTCAGTCTAAGTGACACTGCCTAAAAACTACTAACATAAACTTTTGGCCTCCATAATATTCACAGGTGTACATGTATACACACATACACATACAATTTCCTTTATTTCCGAAAGTGATCTGCTGGCAACAAATTTTGCTTATCTAAAAAACTTAATTTTAATTTTGCTTCTGTTTTTGAGACAGGGTTTCACGTGCCCAGACTGGCCTTAACTCCCAATCCTCCCTCCTGTCTCCAACTGTGAAGCGCTGGAATCACTGGTGTTCACCATTACTGTTTAATTTTTGAAAGATGTATTTACTATACTTGTTATCAAGAAAATGATTATGTGTTAATAAAGTATTCTTAGTTTTGATTCTTTTTGAAGATGACTGAATTTCTTGGCTGTGTGGATTACACTTCTCAGTATTAAGAATGAGACTGTATGACTAACTTCCAGTACTAGAAAATTAAATATCTTTTGGTTCAAATGGAAGAAACAGTATTCTTCATTTTCATATCATGTACGAGTAACATTCCTCTATTCCTGATTCTAGGTACTTCCTCTCAGGCACTATTGTTATGGTTAAGAAAAATGTGTGCTACAGGGAGATGAGAGACTCAAAGTAGTCTCAGAAATCCAAATGTCCTTCAAAAATGTGAGTAGATAAAGAGATTAAGATACATCCATACCTGGGATATTATTTGACCACAAAAAGGAATACATTAATGGTACAAAAAACATAAATAACCTGCTAAAGAACCATATTGAAAGAATCCAATTTCAGAAGGATAATTATTGCAAAATCACACTGAAATTACCTAATCAAAGAAAAGAAAGAAAATTAATGGTTGCCAGGGCTTGGGGACTGTGTGCCTTTAAAAAGTGTGTCTTTAAAAGAGTAGTACAAGGCAGCCTTGCAATGACTATTCTGTAATTTACTATTCTGTAAATTCTAGTACAGTCACACAAACCCATATACGATTTCTTAGAAAGGAAGATGTAAATGTAACCTTTACCTATGCTGTTGCTGGACAGGCCATCTCTTGTCAAGTCAATAACAAAATCAGGTTTCTTCTCTTTAGCCTGAAAAGTTTTGTTAAAAAAATTGTTTAATAGCAGAATTTTTTTTAAAAAGTATAAAAATACATTTTTATTTTTCAGTGCTGAGGATTGAACCTTGGCCTGGTACACATTGATGCTCAAAAGTATGTCACCCATGAGCTAGTCCAAATCCCATCTAATAGGTAGAAGCTGGCAACTCAACACTCTCTAAATAACTTAATGGTTTAAATAAGCCCTACTAGATGAGGCATTGATAAGATACTGCAATGTCTGAAAATATGGTTAAAAATCTCAACAAGCCAGGCAGTGGTGGTGTATAACTCTAATTCTAGCACTCGGGAAAAAGAGGCACAAAGATCTCTGTGAGTTCAAGGTCAGCCTGGTCTACAGAGTGAGTTCCAGGACAGTTAGAATGGTTACACAGAAAGACCCTGTCTCAAAAAAACCAAAGAATTTCAATGAATTGATAGGTGTGCGTCATTCTGAAATAAATGTAGCTGCTTTTTTTTTTTTTCAGTGTGCAACTTGGACTAGAACCTGGACATGGAAACTACTCCTGTTTTTGTTTGTCACCCCCCTCCCAATGAAGGGGGGCAGTGAAGGGACACTGGAGACATTGCATGCACCTAGTCAAAGAGAGGATGACAAAACTCCTTCCTCACAACATGCTGTGACACTGGAGTTCTGATAGCACAAATATTCAGAGACAACAATTGTTACCTACCCCAACTTCAATTATGGTATTAGATGAGTTGCTGAATTTCTTTGATCTGTTTTTTCCAAATTCTGGAAGAAATGGGAAAAAAAAAAAACCAAGAATACATCCAGTTAAATTTATTAAACATTTAAACATGTTCTTTACAATACAAGATACTGAAAGACAAATGATAGGGATACTAATATACTATAAAATAAAAACAAATTTATATATCCCTAAAACTGATAAGCTAGTTAAAATTTTGATTTGGGATTAAAACACACTTTCTTTCAGCAGCATACAGCTATACCAGTAGCTCCTGTTTTTCAAAATCTGAAAGTATTTTAGCATCCACAATTGTGATATTTTGTTATTCACGGTATCTTTAAGAGTGCCTGAGGAGCATCTTCCTGGAATGTAGAGTCTGCACTTCTTTGGAACTCTTTAATTACCAATTGTTGAGATAAATAATTTCATATGCAGGGTGGGAGCGAATGAAAAGCCTTCAGATATTAAAATATAAACATTTCAATACAGCAAAACATGACACAAACAAAGGTAATTCTGAGTAAGAAATTGTGTGCAAGTAATATGCCATTTTTAAGTTAGAAAAAAGTTTTCTATAAAACCAGGTGTGGTGGTACATGCTTGTAATCCCAGCACCTGGAAAGTGAAGGCAGAACGATTAGGAATTCAAGGTCTTCCTTACCTACACAGAGTGTTCATATCCTGTAAATGAGATTTAACAAACAAAAGAACAGATATATTTTTAAGCTGAGCTCTATGAAAACAATCTATCTCATCTAAAAAGATTTTTTTAAATAAAGCATTAGACTTAAATTCTAAAACTGAAAGTAACTTAAAAAATTTTAAAAACAGTTAATCAAGAAGAAACTTCAAATCTAAAATAGGCTATTAACTAACAGATAGAGACAAATTACCACTACCACTAAGGAAAGACCAGGGCAAACAAAATGGATATACATGATTTAAATTGTAAATCATTAGAGCAATACAGAAAAGCAAAAGGCTTAAGCTGATAGATTCAAAGATTAAAAGAAATGTCAATTTTATTAATGAATCATCATTAATTTTAATTAGGTATCAACAGTTTATAACCCTAGTTATAAACTAGAAGATTAAGTAGACAATTTTACATCTTATTTAAAGATAATGGGGCTGGAGAGATGACTCAGGGCTTAAGTACTTGCTGCTCTTCCAGACAAGGTCAGTTCCCAGCACTACATCAGGCGGCTCACAACTGCTTCAACTCCAGCTCCAGGGGGATCAAGTGTCCTCTCTACCTCTCAGAGCATCTACAAATGAGGTATACACTCACACAAACACATATATACAGAAATGAAAATAAAAACCTTTTAGATACCTGTTGAAACTGATGTAATTGGAGTTGTCAAATTGGGTTTTTCCACAGAAATTAACATAACATCATCAGCGTTACTAAAATGTTAAAAAAAAAAAAGAAAGCAGAAAAACTGCAGTTAACTATCAGAATTCCTCTAACTTATTATTTAAGAATGGCATTCATCAGTGGACAGCTTGTGAGAATCAGTTCTCTCTACCATGGGGATCTGGGGCACAACTGAGGCTGGGAAACAAGCACTTTCATTGCTGAGCTGTCAGGCCAGTCCTCATAACACGCTGTACCTCAACAACTGTGGGAAAAGAGGAGATAAAGCCAAATAGTTAACAAAGCCCAAGTACTAGCAGTTCATTTATATGATTCACAAGCTCAACGAGGGCAGGGTAAACTTGATAGCCTGAATTCAAATTCTTCAACCCAAATGGTGGAAAGAGAGAACTCCTATGTGCTGTATGCTGACCTCCTCAAGTGGCACAGTACACACCAACACCCACAAAATACATTCTTTTTAAAGTACAGGGAGGGGCTGAAGAGATGGTTCAGCATTAAGAGTACTGGCTGTTGTTCCAAAGGACCTGAGCTTGATTCCCAGCACCCACATGGCAGCTGGCACCTGTCTGTAACTTTGGCTTCATGGCTTCTGACATCCTCACAGACACATACATATAGGCAAATACCAATGGATATAAAATAAAAATAAATTATATAAAAAAGTACGGGGAAATCCAGTAATAGATAAGTAAAACTTAGTAAGGAAATAGTCACAATAGTTACAGTGTAATATACAACTATACCAAACACATAGGCATATGAAATATACAAATATCACATACAGTCCTGTTCATAAAATCTTATAAATGGAAAAAAAAATTATTAAGACCCATAAGAACACTGATTCTTAAAAGATACATGACCCTGAGGCTGGGCATGATCCCAGTGAGGCCAGACTGGAAGAAACACAAATTATTAAAAAACATAGCTGTCACTACTTTACCACTAATTCTAAGCCCAAAGGCCATGTTTTGCTGCCATTTCAACCCTCCTCATACTTTAATAACCTAGGCCTTTTAATTAGGATTTTGTTTAAAAAATATACAAACTGTATTAATTCAAATCCAAGATTAGTTTTCCATAATTCAAAACTATATCATCTTATGAAATATCTTACATTTTTAGTATCTGTATTCAGGATTCACTTATTTAAATTTTATTTACCAGGGTCAGGCGTGGTGGCTTATGCCTTCTTTTATCTCAGCACTCAGGAGGCAGAGGCAAGCAGATCTGAGTTTGAGGCCAGCCTGGTCTACAGAGTGAGCTCCAGGACAGCCAGGTCTACACAGAGAAACACTTGTCTCAACCCCCCCCCCCCCAAAAGGGGCTAAAGTTTACCTTTTGAAAATTATTGTTTTATTATTATTATTACTTAGCAAGGATCTTATGTAGTTCGGACTAGTCTTATGTAGCTAAGTATGACCTTGAAACCCCGAGAGTACAGGCAAACACCATTTTGATCCCTGCAGTTAATCCAACCAACATTTTTTTTAAATAGAAATCTTTTTTTCTCCATAAATTACCCTGGCATTTTTCTTCCAAAAAGAGGATTCTACAGGTACATGTTAGCTTGTACAGTGACCTATATGCCTCTCCTTACAACCACTGCCCTAATCACTGCAGCACTAGCAGGTTCTGAATATAGGAAGTGAGTCTACCAACCTTGTTTCTGTACTGTAATATCATTATTCAGTTTTTT